CTCACATTTTTGCCATTATGTGTTATCTGAGTCTGATACATTGATATTACTCGTAGAAAAACATAAATTTAAGAAAATAGTATATTTAATGTGACATATACACGTATATACACACAAAACAATTATATTATGCTATATATCTATAGATAAATGCGTGCATTGGTAATTATCATTCGAACATTGTTTTCTTTTTCTTTTTCTTTATCAATTACAGATCAGATACAGTTTCATTTATGTCAGTGTTGACACTTTTATACGCGACTATGTTATTAAATCTGTTTTATTAGAACAGGTTTCGCTTTAGTCTTCTATCTTTTTGTCTTTTTAAGAAGAATATCGTTTTAATATACGAATTATATTTCTGGTAGAACCAATTATAATAAAATATTTGCGTACCTTTGCGATACAAATTTTGTAATAAAGCTCAATTCCTCATTCTATTATTCTAATTACCTGTTAACACGCACACCGTGATTACACGACAGACACTTACGGCAAGAATACTCACGAGTCGGCACTTCTTTACGACGCACTTGTACTCCAATGATGGCTTCCATGGGAACTTCGGTACGCGGAATACTAACTGCATGTGGTGGCAGGTAAATTGGTTCCAAGTTACCAAAGGTGCATTCTTGGGGGATATTCTTGTAACAATACGCGTGCGACTGAGAGACGAAATCAAAATTTATCATTAAGTGTTTATACTTTAACGGACAATCTTTAAAATCATGCTAATGGAATATGCTTTTGTCTCTATTTATACAAGAATGTAATTTGCTTTCGTGTATTTCGTTTTAAAAATTAAATGTATTTGCATTGTACTGCAATGTTTCACTCTATACTCTATACTAATTCCGTTAACGAAACAAAAGCAAAAAGCAATATATGAAATATAAATCCTTTTTTTTTTACCGTCATGCCGCACCACTCGCAACGAAACCCGGCAAGGCACTCGACAGTAAAACAACTCTTCTTGCATACAGCGCATTTAGAGCTACTCGGAAGATTGCCTTCCCGCCAGTGATGAGTGTGTTTCACTGCTGACAGGTCCTTCCCAGGCAAGTACGTGGCATTCTCCTTGCAGTCTGCCACCGCGAAATCTTGGCATTCTATGTGCACGAAGTACTCGCATACTACCGGCAAACGAGGGCATTTACAATTAGCGTATTATCTTTTTAGGACCTTTATATAAATTTACAAAGATGATATTTATTAAAGGCATCAATAATTAGCTAATAAAACGATTCAAAATTCCACAGCTAGGCACAAATTTCAACTCACTTTCGCAGTGTATGGATGGATTATTATCATCCAAACGTTTCCGACAGACGTTGCAGAATTTTCTTTTATGATGTACTTGTTCGGACCAACAGTGTGCGACCGGGTTCTATAACATAATAAAAATATGCTCTATTAATTTTATATTATCATAACAGATATAAGACTCTGAGGTAAAAAAGAATCTCTGCAGTGTCAAGCAAGTATCGTTTCTTGTGAACTCTATGATTTTCTAGCTTCTTAATTATAAAATTTACGCTAAATTATTTTACTGCAATATTTTTAATTATTTCGTGATATCCCTAGAAGACAAGATTGCTTTTTTATTGCCACATAAATGAAACAAAATCGGTAAATATAGATGTTATATTTTTATGCGTATAGGGGCGGTTAATCGTGCGTTGCAGCGGAGATTGATTATTATCCTACCTTAATCAGGCTTGCCGCGATGCTGGAGCAGGGAGAGACGACGGCCTTGAGACAGCGGTCGTGCACCACGAAGTTACACACTGCAACAAATAAAGGATTTTAGAAAAAGGAAAAATATACAGAAAATTAATTATTACATAGGATTTACCGACTAAGCGGTAATATGTACCATAATGTAAATCAATATGAGCCACTCATGTCGTAATTTATAACGAGATCTTCTGACCTTTCACGATGTAAGTAAAAACGTCGAGAATCAAACGCGGCTTCTTAATATAAAAATTTTTATTTAATATTTTCACCGTTAATTGCGACTCACAAATATGCATGTAATAGTTTATCAAATTTCTACAGAAGCCAAACAAAAAATAAAATTTTTCAAATAGTTTCCGTTACATAAAAACCGGTTGATAAAAAGTTACAGGTTTCATTAATCCTTATGGTATTTTTTCTAATTTATTATCTACATATTTTTTCCGGAAAAACGGATCGCGAGCTTTCGCAGGACCGAACGCGACCCGTTATCATCATGAACATCCGCGTGCTTCCGGCAAGCGATTTATCACCGCCGAAACGCGCTGCGTCGTCACGTCGCTGGTCCACGACGTCGTCGTCGAAACGACGCTATTCGTCGCCGCGATCAGCAGCCGATCCGGTTCCGCGCCCGACTCGCTCCGACTGTCCGTCGAGGCTGGCCAGCTGGTGATCAGCTCCCGCCAGTCGGGCACGCCGGTCAGGTAGGCTAGAAGGAGTAGTATGAGGCACCCACCTAGGCACCTGCTGCCCCCAGGCTCGAGGGCAGCGCAGCCGCTCGTCTGGTTCTCCGTCGTAGGCTTCTGCACCTCCGGATGGGAGACCCGCTCCACCTGCTGGCTGCCTGTCCACGGATCGCCCTCAGTGTCCACGGCATTGTGCCGGACATTGTCCGGGGCTGCATTGTTCTGGATCACGTCCTGATGAACCACCGGCGGCAACGGCTTGTCCCTGTCCAGCTCTTCGTCCACCTCCACCGACGTCTCTGTGCCGAAGAACACCATCTTCCACTCCTCTAGTGTATCTGAAACAACATCGGCGGCTACATTGGCGAGATTAAAGGTAATAATTATTAATGAGTACATCACGTTCACAAGATTGTGCGTAAAGTGATTCGATTACACATAGCTCAAATCAGAAACAAAAGGAAAAACATATGTGTATTCAAAAAAAAAAAAAAAAAAAAAACTGATGTAGTTTTTTTTTTTTTTTCATTTCAGGAAATATTTGACAGATTCTCAATATACGAAGACTATTTATAAATTTAGATTTAATATAATGATGATTTCAATATTAATATTAATATATTGATATTAATATTAAATATCTCACAATCAGAATTGACAAAAATAATCGCGATTCGACTGAAACATCATCATTTGCATATCATCATCTGTTAAAAGGACGCAGGGTGACGCGATAAGTGTCGTATTCTTCGCAAGAACGGTAATGATCGAGCTCTATCGCGCTCTTGCGACGCTAATCAGGCAAGATGTGGGAAATTTGTCGCATCGACGCGCAGGTGCGGCCCGAAATAGTACTGTGCATCCGCTTCGTTAAAAAGGCGCCATCAGCCACCATCGACGATCGACCACCACGAATGCCGGGTTAACTTTAACTCCTCGAGTGGGTAGTTTAAATCGAAAAGGAGTATTCGTTATTGTCGTTGAAAAAAAAAAAAAGAAATTTGTTTATCCATTTAAATATTGTTTCAAGCGCTATGCTTTCCTCAAACATATAAAAAAAAAAACACAAAGTATTAGTTCGAGAAATGGACTCTGTCTCTCTAATGAATGTTAAAGCGCTTATGGCGTTTACATTTTTATTTAATCCAGGTATAAAAATACGCACACACAAAAAGATAGACAACAATAAAATATCTAATATAAAAAACACGGCATTTTTTCCATCAAACACGCGCGCGATTAGTCTTTGATGAATGTATCAATCGCGAGCTTTATCATGTTTATTCTTCATCTTCCTTTTTCTCTTCGAAAAAAACATTATCTTGTTATAAATGCAAAAAAATCATAGATAAAAGAGGTTTACTTCTCACGCAAGTCTATCGATGTTGTCGATTTTATCTAGATAAGATTTGAGAATCGTTCAAAAATTAAGCTAAAGATAAGAAATGCATTAGACAAGCATGCTTTAAATCACGTTTGATCTCGGGAAAAAAAGAAGAATCTATATATTCCATCAATCTTTCGGTAATCACGTGTATCTGAAGTATACACGTGTTGATTTTCACTCTAGCGATTATTTTTCGGCTTCTTCTGCATTTATATGTACAATATCTTTTTTTTTCGACCAGTTTTGGTTTGTCGTAACTGTAACAATTTTAGTCGTAGCAGCATAATAAATCAACCAATTGTTTTAGCCAAAACTATGTATGTGTGTGATACAATTAAATAATTTTCAATACTACGAAAAATATCACAATAACTTCGTAGAGAGTGATCTCATCTATTATAATATTAATCGTCTATTACAATCTTGTCTCTTCCAAAAAAAAAAACCTAAAAATTAAAATAAAGTACACATTGATATGTATAATATTGCAAAATATTTTCTCCATCGAGATATTTTTCAACCATAAACACAATCTAACATAATAGAATGAAATTGTAACAAATATGACACTTTAAACTCTCATGTCTAAAATCAATTGTGTATATAATGCCCTGTCCCTAATGGTCACGTCCGATTCTTTTGATAATAATGGCAGCACTCGCTGTACTTTTACAATTAATTTTTGTTGTCTTATAGAAACGAGAGATTATCTCCAAGAAGTACAGAACAAAGAGGATACATTTTGGCGTTGTATTGAAGAGAGCCTGTTTTGTAGAATGTATTATCTGATAAATGTAACATATTTATGTACATTACCAAGAAGAATATCAAGCAATCAAACTATTAAAAAATTATGTGAGAAAATACAAAAAATATTAATAACTAATATTAGTTATAATCTGTCGATTTCTGAAATGTGCAAATTCGTTTTCTATGTACATAGATCATTTGATTCGTACCCCAGTACAACTTACAACAGACTTTGATATTTGATCAAAACATTATTTGTACGTATAATAAATGAAGAAGAATCTGATATATCTCTGGATAAATGACTAAACTTATTTCTTTATTTTCTTTATTTTCTCGGATTTATGTAAGTTACGTCTATCAGTATTTCTGCTACATAAGATAAACTTTAAGATTTGATACCAAATTACTATGACATATGATTAACAATTGCGCTTATTGTTAAATTAATTTATATATTGTTTCATATTTCTCTATCTATAATGCAAAATGTTGGGAAAAATCTAAAAAAAATACTGACAAAAATAAGTAAACTAAATAAATAAATTGCTGTTATTTGCTCGATATGATAGTAATAAATTCAACGTATACATGCTATTCCCAAGTCACATACATGACGGTTGACGCCGTTATTTAAAAAGACGTTCATTCTTCTGACATTTGTGTTTCATAGAGGGAAGTGTATATTTCACTAATAATATGTCTGCTCTTTAAAATTCATCGCTTTCCAAGTTTTATATAATTTTATATAATAGATTAATGTTTTATTAAAAAAATATCCAAATATTAATTTATCATGATTGTTCAATAGATGCCTAATAAGATACAAAATTAATTATACAAAAAGCGTCAAACCTTAAACATGAAATGAAAAAAATAAGCACGAGAATTAAATTGTGTTTCGATTAAGTTTATAAAGAGAATTATTAGAATCCTATCTCTCTTACAAAGAGAGAGGGGGGGAGGAAAGGAGAGAGAGAGAGAGAGAGAGAAAGATTGGATTTATATATGTAAACTTATATATATACAAAATAATATAAATATAATTTGCAGACATAAAAACAACAACTTTATTTAAAGCAACCGACAGTAAAGCGATCAATACATTCTAGCAAGGTTTAACAATGGCTTTAGAAATATAACACTTTATCTTTCACTACTGTGAAATTAGCATTGCATTACTAAAATTTTTATATGGTGGAGATCTCTGGCATTCCCTAATGATTTTAAGGAATTTCTGATACATATAAAAAAAAAATCCGACCATTAAATCGAAATAATAATGGTCTGAACGTCTAAATATGATGATCTAAATATATGAGTAGCCAATTTTACGTTATACGACAAAACTGCAAATTTTCCTTCATAATAATAAATTTCTCGTAAATGTAAAAGATTTTTTAAAAATATATTTTTCTTTTTAACTTGTAGATAATACTCTTTGAAAGTTTTATCAAGAAATATTGGCTCAAATCGGTCTTGATTGTGAAATAAAAAAGTGATTAACCAGTTTTCGTATAAAAAAAAAAATGTAAAATTGATATTCAACATGAATCTTTTTGGGTCCTTATTTTTTATATTTGTCAAAATTCTTGAAATGGAATTAGTTATAGAATCTAAGATTCTATTCGCATAAATTAAAATTAAAAAGATGTGATATACAAAGACATTTATAATTGACTTTCAAACGTATAACGATAAATATTCGAAATAAAATAACGTAACACATTTTTAAATAAAGCAGCGATAAGTTTAGTGATCACTTTGTGCACGACTTTTTATAAACTGCACCTAACGTAAGCAGCGCGGTTTTATATTTTTTTATCCTTATAATGTCTCCCACTTTTTTCGTGACTATAAAGGCCATCAGTTTCTAATGAATATTTTTACTCTTATTACGTGTTCTTTTTCTTCCATTTTTTACACGCTAAATATATCTAACAGCTCACACTTATATTCTGTATACAGTTATACAGTCTCCGCAATTAAATTCATCATCTTTCAGGCGAGAGATGACACAAAATTATCTAAACTCTGCTACGTTTTTGCCCCTTTCTCCCTCCCCTTCCTCCTCCCCGAATGACGCTCGATACATCTAAGGCAGTTCTCTTCATCGAACATTC